CTATGGCGTAGCAGCACGCCTCTCGTGTCCCGTAAGGAAGATCCTGTGGGCGAATTTATCGAAGAGCGCCCACGGGGAAAGCATCGTAACGCGTTGCACGTTGTATCCCAGACCGGTTGCACCTGTTTCTCTGGGGTTAGGATCCCATGGGTGCTCGTAATGGCGGTTCCGGGTATTGCCTTACGATCGCGATTATGTAAATTTTTTTCGCTGTAAGCGCATCGTACTTCCAACCCAATTGTCTTTAATTCGAAATCGCGCGCTATTCTTCGCTCTCCGCCAGCGTTTTCATCAAAGAACGGGCACGTTGCCGTAATGCCAACAAGGATTCATAACGAACGTAATTCTTTAGCAATCTGATTATCTTCCGAGAGCACGATTCGTTTTAATTTCTCAAATTACTGCACGCTGCAAATATCGTTGTACGCGCAAGATGATATCTCGCTGCGCGGTATGCGTGTGTTTGTGTGCTATTGTTACTACGCTAGAAGGGAGTGACACTTGGTATTAATTCCGAGGAAGATAATCACACGACCAGGCGGAAATTAAATGTAACGACGAAGTAATAATAATGCGAATAAAATGTATGTAACGGAAATCCGAATAAAATAATGTACTTACCGTTCGGTGCATCGTTGCTGCTTTCCTATTTTCTCCTGCTGCTCTCCTGTTGATCATATCCTTGTCCGGGTCAGCCACATAATTACGTTTTCTACAAGCCAAACATCAGAGTACGCTTTTAATTACAATCATAGATACTAATTTATATACTAATTTATATACTACACTTACGATTGTATCACATAATACTGAGAAACGACAAGACACCTATTTATTATACGACGCCTTTGACGATTGCTTTCCGATAGCATCTCGAAAACGATACACAACGAGCGTCCGTTCCAACGAGAATCTATACGTTCGATACAAGCGATGTGCATGATGAATATGTCATCAACTGACGAGACACGGAAAAAGATGCGATGTTGCGTAATGTAAATACAGCGGATCGCTAATTGTTCCCGGAATATCGTGGGCGAACAGTTATCTCGCGCCTCAATTAACACATTGCAATAATAGTCCGATATTACCGCTGCTTCAGGATTAACCGACAATAACGCGACGGTATTATTACGACATAACCTGGCACGATGTAACACAATAGACGCTGCCTGCATATAGCGAAAGACAGTAGTATCAATATGAATAGTTTTAACTTGGCTCGCTCGCTTCTTTGTTCGTGCAAGGATCACAATGCTATTTTAATCTCTCGAGTATCGTGCAATGTTATTTTAATCTCTCGAGTATCGAGAAGTTCCGAATTTAATGATATTATGATACTGCTTGAAAAAAAAGATAATGCTGTGTACGTCGCGGAGCTAACGCTAAATAAGTTCGCCAAACATTTGCCAAAATCGAAAATCTCTTTAAAATCAATAATTTGGCACATCTGGAAATATATGATGTAACGCTGGCTACGTCCCGAAGCCCTGACTTCCCAATCCAGCATCCTGGCTGCTCCCTCGCGGCACTGACACTACCACTGACATTGGCATTAACAACTACATAGATACGATTCGATCGAAACGTGTGTTAATTAACGCGATACCGACGAGAGTGGTATTAAATATTTGAAGACCCGACGGGAATGACAACGAACGCACCGCCGATACACGTGCTCCGCGTGCCGATATGTGTACGTCTCTCGTCAGCTCAAGACGACGTAATGGCTGGGAAAATGAGAAGATGACGCGGCACATGAGAAAGAAAACAAAGAGTAAAGATGGTAAAATTTCCCCCACCAACTGCCGTCCGCCGCAGAACTGAACGTCAACAAAACATTCCAGATCTTCGAGGCGGTTGGATTTAACTAGATTCTCGACTCGCGTCGTCTAGTATTCCGTGATCGAGCGTTACATGATGTTTCGAGCCGGCACAAAATACGCGTATCAGTGCGTTAATTATAATTCTACTAACTCTCGTCGAAATAATTAGTCGGAATAATAGTTATTTAACACGTTCTTCCATCCGTTCGAATTATATCTACGTGTGCGTGCCGACAGAACACGTTACTGGATCGGAAAGCCAGGACAGCCAAGGGACGCGAGTAACAACACATCATATATATTTTCACGTGAGTCAAATCATTTATTGTCCTTGTAAGAGATTTCCGATTTTAACGAACCCTCGATGAAGGTAATTCAGCATAAAGAGGTACCCGAAATTTAGAAATTGTTAAGTATCTAATAATGTTTCTTGAATTACAAGTCTCGTTTTGAATCTGCGAACGTCTTGAGTCAGCGGAAAGTCAAATGATATCGAATATCCATTTTCCAAAACTGCTTATTGAAGAAAATGAAGTCAGTTTTTGTCTCAGCAGGTCCTCCTTTAGGTCTGAACACGGAGGAAACGCGAATAAGCGATCATTCGTGGAATCGAAATGAAATTATAATCCGCTGTTATGCCTCGAGATTCTCAATTTCTTCTTCAAATTCGACGAAACTCACGTGGGATTAACGTGGGGCCAGAATTTCGATTCGCTCGCGTCGCTCGGGTATATAACTATGGGATGTGAAACACATTTCGTTCTAACCGTGTCTAAATTTTTTCGCGGAGAATAACCGGATATTCCATATAGCTCTAAAGCCGACCCTCTTTACGGCGATTCGTCACAGCGGTTGACAGACTAAATACCGCCCCCGACGAGTTTTTTCTACAAAGGACCTTCTGTCGCGAAGGAATACCGCATACTGGCGGGGGGTACATACGGGGGAAATATGTCCGCTACGTTCCGCGCGCATTATAAAGCACCCTTTGCGTACATACACGGCGAGCCCGACGGTGAGGGTGACGCCCGCGGGGGGTGACGGACGGTAACAATATGTGTATGTATAACCGAGCGGCGGGGGAGTGGCGGAAGTATACATAAATATACATTTTTATGATGAATATACTCGAGAAAATATACATCACCTTGCGGAGAGGATTCCGAAGGTTAGCAGCGGCGCTCGAAAGTGGAGGTTATGAGCAGGCGGAGGCATGGCTTAAAAGTGTGTTAGGGTCGTTCAGGTGTGCCGTGTTGCATCGGTGAAATTCGTAAACGGATACGAGGGGGGGGGGGGTGCAAAGTATGCCCGTTTCGGAATGTCTCGCGTCCTATTTCCCGATTTGTCTCTTCTTGCGATTCTCGTGCGAGTATCGATCGAGTTCTCGAGCAATGGTAATTATAACTAACTATTCCGAGCGAAGAATTATCGTCTGCCAAGAAAACGAGAGAGAGAGAGAGAGAAATGTATCATGTGAGACTCTATCTCTGAAGGGCTCGCTGTAAAAACGTCCACGCAAATCTGTTACAATTTTTCGGTAATGCCGATGGTAGCAGGATGACGTAAAGCGGTCATCTTTTTGAATTATCGCGCGATGCTACGCTCAGCGTGTGTCGGAATCCTTTTAACCGAACATAAATAAGGCGGATCCGCCACGGTAATCCACGAAGCGGATTATCCAGTCGCCGGGATGGACGTAGCGGAAGACGTCCCCGTTTACTCCCCGTTTACTCCGCGGTGTCGTCAAGAAGAGCCCCGGGATAATAGAGAGGTTCGCGATTTTAAATCCCCCTCTCTTTTCTCGGCGTACGTTTCGCAATTCCGGAGCACCGATTCCATCCGCGAAGATCTCATCGCAACCTTCCTCGCATTTAATCTCTCTCTCTCTCTCTCTCTGTTGCTCTCTCCTTCGCGTTCGTCTCCGACTGAATTCCATAAAACGTAGCGCCTCTTAAACCCTCTCGAGAGCACTTCCGGTTCGTTGTTCCATTCTTCTGCTACTCAACCCGGCTCGATTACGAGAGACAGTCGCTTAGACAGACTCCCCGGTTCTTCCGGGCTAATCTGAGGAACGGAGTAAACGGGAGCCAATCAAAAGATCCGGACGAGAGTGGTCGATGGAACGTGGTGCTCGAGAATGCAATTGAATTTCTCGATTGCGCTCGACGCCGCGAGGTGTCGAACGGATGTTTCGCATGCGCGAATGCTCTCTCGCAAGTGTTTGCGAAGGAGCTTATTTTTCATTCGTTTATTCCGCTTACAATGTAATAGACTACGCCTATATGCAAATTCTCGTGACCCGCCACATTCGCGCTTGAACTGGCTGAAACCGGAAAATTCTTGCATCACGGCGTCTCATTCTGATGTTATCTCATTGAAAGTTGCAAAGTCAGCGAAACAAACATTCTTCCAAAGAGACCCGAAGAAACAAAAGAGATACTTTATCACACATACCTGGCGGTAATATGAATCGATCCAAATCGTAATCCCGAATCGTCGTCCGGTCAAAGGGTCCGACCGTCGCAATCCTCGGCATTGAAACGATTAGACACACCGGGAGCGGGAGTGATTCACAGCAATTCCACCTTCCGTCGCGAGTGCACACTAGTGCACCCACCGATATAAGATACCGCGGTTTCCTGTAGCGCCGGTGTAATCGGACGAGCCGACACGAGAACGAGGTCTTCCTCGTCTTATCGTCTCACCGGAGGTTGAGTGACCGGTAAGTGACCGACTGAACTCCCAAAGCTACCCTCGGCGAAATTCCAAAGATGGGCGACAGGCAGGATTCAGCTGTTCGTAACCAGATGTCGGCAGTTTGTCCGTAACCGGTTCGATCCGGTGTGCATCGCGCACAGAGCAGTGCGCATTCCCATTGACCAGTCCGTGGTCGGAGCCGTGCACTCGGGCCAATAGTAATCGTACAACGTCGTTGGGAACACCGTGCGCTCCTTAACGTCAGTCTCGTCGCGGTGCTCCGTCTTCGCACGTCACGTAACGCAACGTCACGTTATCTCGAAGAGACGATCGGCGGAGAGGTTCAGCTGTCACCGTCCCAAAGGACGCGATCGATCGTGAGTCACGCGACTCTCGGCGTTTCCCTACGGAAGAGAGGAGCGCGACCTCGCTCGCAACCGATCATCGAGCGCTCACGATTCCATCGGGACACCGTCGTCGTGGTACTCGCGTTTAAAGACCACACGGAAGCTGCAGCTCTTCTTCGGTTCACGCAGCCCGCAGCGGGACCCGCGCAAAACGCAGAGGTGAGTGCCGGACGAGGTTGTCTCTCTCTCTTGGCCCACCCACCTGCCCTTTGTCCGTCGCCATCCCTTCTCAGAAATCTCTCGACCACTTCGACCTATCGATCCAGCGGTCCGTCCGCCCGCGATACGTCCTGCGCGGGTTCTCGTGGGCCGCGTAAACCTCGTCGACGACGACGACAGCGGCGACGGCAGTTCTCCGCGATCGGTGACGTAGGCGACGACGCGATTGTGTCATGCGGCGTGCTGCGACCGAAGGTCGAACGCGCTAGATCGATCGCAACATCACCGATGTCTCGAGAATGATCCGGCGGTAGCGCGTCGTCGCCTCCTCGACGGCTGGCTGTCGGGAAACGGGGTTAGGCCGGACGATCGATCGTAACCGAAGCGAAGTAAGACGTCGAGGAATAAGGGTTGCTACACGTCGATGCCAGTCGTCGGCCCTCGATCACGAGTGAGCTCGTTCGCTCGCTCGTGCGCGCTGTCGCGAGCCGTGACTTATAGCGGTCGATCCTCCACCTGTCTTCTCCTACTTCCTTCTCCCGCGCTTTTCAAAATTTAAGGACGCGATCTCGGCCTGCAGTCGGCAAAGCGGTCGTCTGAATGATGCATGCGAACGGGATCGTTCCTGCAGTTCCTGGCAAACGTGGCGTTTGTAGCTCGAGGTCTTACATTATGTATCGCGAACTTCCACGGATTAATTATTCTCGTTGCTGGACCCGATAATTTCGAGGTGTCAATCGACAAGCTTGAAACTTTCATTCAAAATCGTTCCGTCATTTCCCGTCCAGTGGAATCTCGAGGATTGGAGACCGAGGGGGAACCGCTTCTTCGTGTCGTCTCGTCAAGGTGATGTGCTCGTTTCTAAGGAACTTTCGTGTTCCTTCTGAGAAGCACACCGAGAGCACGAGCGAGCCACCTTACCCATCCCCGATTCCCGCTGTAACGACCGACAGTTTCCTTAGCCGCTATCTGATCGCGGACGTAACAGCCTGCAGCTGCTCCGACGGCGGTCATATGACGCTCGAAGCACGCTGGATCGATGCTACGCGAGTTGGCGATGGAGAAAAAAAAATAGTCATGAGAGATACAGGAGAGACAAAAAATAGACTGTCACGCGCGATAAGATTTCTCGTCTCGGATCGGCCAATCTTGTCCTCGCGCTTTGAAAGGTGTGCATTAAACCTAGCTTTGACTTTAAAGTGACTTGATATTACCTACTTCGGCGGAAAATATCGCGTTAAAATGGAGCGTAAAGTAGAAATTCTCTTCCCTGAGAACGCGTGTAGCTTCGTCTTCGTGTACTTTGTCGGGGCGTGATAAATTACGCAGAGAAGCGGCTCGCCGATTTGACGGTCCACTCAATTACCACTCTCTGCCGAATCAACGCGCGTTTTTTTTTCTTAAATGCAGCTCCGATGGGTGCGATGCGTTAGTATGAAAGAGCGGAAAACGCGGGGGAGAGCTTCGTACGCGGAGACAAATGCTATTTTCGCTCACTCACCGCGATTAAATCCGAGATCCATCAAGTCAGCTCAGAAACGCCATCGGCCGGAATTCAATTATCTTGCCGCACTTACGCAGAAAACGTTTCAATCCGCAGATAAGCTGCGTAAATACATTCCAGGTATGTACCTTTAGATGCAACGTACAACGCGCTTCTCCAATGAGCCGTACACCCGATATTAACAGCGACGTCTTGCACAGCGAACGATCGACCGCGCGTAACCTCGATAATCGCGACCCTTATCGCTTGCATCAGCCGTGGATCGATAGTCCACTTGAAATCGGCCGCTCTGACACATTTCGCGTATCGTCTGCGCCCTGTCGCTATCGCTGAGACATATCGCAGATCAGCAGGTGGACGACTCTGGTGTGACCGTCGGGTCGGCCAGCGTCGGACGAAAAATTAGACGTCGAGAAACGAGGTTAACCCCGACGTTACACGCGAGTATCCACGCGAAAAATCAATACGCGTCTCTCCTCCTGGGGACGCCGCGGTACAAGACGCGCGCGGAAGTCCATCGGCGAATTGGCGATCACCGCGTGCATCTCCGATGGCGATATGCATACGTATCTCCGTCTCTCGTCCGGAAAGCTCCTGGCCGGATCGATTTTCCGTCCGCCGGATGCGAGGCCGATGTTGTAAGCAAGCCATGCGAGAGAGCGGCTGATCCGGCCCGCCCGGAGCCCGTCGATATTCGTCGAGTCCAGTCGCGGAATCTAAAATGAGTTATCGCACCGTGCTGCGGCCGATCCACGACTGATCGTGTTCTGTACACCACCGCGGTGTATATTCGAAAATTTCCCTGTTAAACGAGAAAATACGAGCTCTCTCTCGGTGACGAAAATTTCCGAGCGCACAACCGGTTCCGGACCGTCGCGTTTCGGATCGCGGTTCATCGAACGGACGCGCGTCGTATCGGCGTTACACCTGCTTCGAGAGGCACACTCGGCGCATGAATCAATTGCGCTTATCGGTCATTATCGGTGATGTCCGCGTGGAAAAATGATGGGAGCCAGATGCCGCGGGATGCGTTCTCTTTGTTACATTGATCGATGCATCGACGTGTGATGTTGTTCGCGAGCGAAACCGTACACGTGCCGATCTGTGTTTACCGTGCAAACTTCTTCTGCATGCATCCATCTGTTCTTCACACGAGTTTGCGTCACGTTTCGCGTCAGACACGGCTCCGAAAGAAAGAGAGAGTGAGAGAGAGGGAGAGGAAAAGGGAGAGGGAGATAGAGTGGTCTTCCGGAGCACCTCGTTTGGTTTTTACTTTATCAGTTGATTATCGCACGCGCTTGATTTGCCTGTTAAAGATAGTTTTTTTCATTGACTAGAAGGAGACACCAATATAGACACTGATCACTGTTTCTTCGTTCGCACGTTTCTTGTTGACCGGTCTGTTTTTCACGGAAGCGCATAACTAAACACTTTACGACTGGCATGTCGCCATATGCATGATTCTCTCGTTGTGCGACGAAGCCGATGGATTTTGTGCATGTCAGCGGATCATATTTTGACACGCATCTCTTAGCGAGGACGATTCCACGAGGCATCGGCAATGGCGTTCGCGATCAGACTCGCGCGTTGAAATACCGTCTAATAAGGGGGGTGGGAAAAAAGAGCATGTAACAGCAGACGGAGGCTGACCCGAGGCGTCAGCCAGCTGCCGATGCGATCGCTTCCTCGATTGCTTCTCTCGGTCGGAAATCGACCGTAACTGACACGGAGGGATCGGACGGCCGCCGATGCCTCGAATCGCGCTGTCACACAAGAACCCCCTTACCTTTGTTTTCTCTTTCTTTTGTTCCTTTGCCGTTCGTTTGCCTTGTTGACGTGCGATATTGGCATATCGGCTTCGGGCACGCCTATCATCATCAACGGCAACGGCAACGCCTCAGCTCCGAGCGCCTTCGAGGCGAGTCTTCGCCGAGAGGGCATCCACCTGGCCGGTGGACACCGTCATCCGGCACGAGCAGCACGACGATCGACTAGGTCGTCCATTGGGACAGGCATCGTGGACCCAGGCAAGGCGACGAAAGCTCACGCCATGCCGGCAGGTATTGGCGCTTCGTACAGGTCGTTAGGCGACCTGGGCGAAGACGTTTACAAAAGCACGACCATCGTCGACCAGACGCAGACCACCAGCCAGAGCGTCCTCGAGTCCGTGAAGAAGGCGTTTAGCTTCGCCTCGCCGAAGGTCGAGATACGCAAGAAGGACCCGCTGATCGAGGACCGTCGCGAGAGCGTCTCGATCGTTTCCAGGTAATACTTCTTAAGCGACATTGCGCGAAGGTTACGCGGGGGAGATGCCGATCGGCAGGTAGGGGTGCGTCGGGTACTTCTCCGTCGCTGTTTCTCGACCTCGAAGGTCTCTCACGGAAAAGTCGTCTCGAGTAAAGCACGGAGAGATTCGATTCGGAACGATTCTGCGCGTCATGAATGTCGTGAGAACACCGCGAGCTCAAAGACAAAGCAATCAATGACGGCGCACAGTTGGAGCGGATTCATTAAAGAGTTCGACGAGCATTTCGAGGTCGAAGACATCGGGGCATGATTATAACGCTTCTGCTATTGGCTATGGTGGCGGACAGGTCGCGGGAAATCGATCGTCACGCTATCTACGCGGTTTTCGGCACTTTCGTTGCTATTCGCGCGTAATGTAAGTCGAGATGTACACTAAGGACCATTGAAAATGCCCCGCCCAAGAGACTTATTCGATTGAGCCCAAAGTTACAGGACACGTTTGGCCATCATGGAGCCATTTGGACCATCCTGTGTGAACCTATGATTGTTTTGCCAATGAACTGGGTTCACTCGGAAAAACCCATTTAGTTGACATGTCAACAAAATGCTTGTTTGGTCAAGCAAATGTTTCAGTTATGAGAACCGAAATCTAGTTATCTTTTTTCAAACTTTGTTCATTTTTCTTTCAGACAACCAAACTTTGGCTCTCACAACCAAAACATTTATCCGCCCGTACCCAAATAAGCATTTTGTTTAACTAAGTGCTCTCAATGCACTTAGTCTTGAGTCTTCTGCCTCTCTGTTTACCAAGTTTCAGCCCACTCCGATACCATCCTTCTGAATGGGGCATTTTCAATGCACCTTAAGCCGGTATTTATAATCGGATCTTCAAGACCGTCTTAAATTTATCTTCAGATGCTGTACGGTTTATTTTATTGACTGATATACGAAATATCTGAAAATGAACTTAAGACGGTCTTAAGATATAAGATCCAACTGTGAATACTAGCCTTAATGTATTCTTAGAGAAATCTAAAGATGAAAGATAAACGGTGATCTTATCCCCGGATGGATGAAATGTCAAAATTTTTACGGGATCATCTGTTGCTGTCGAGCTGTAATTCGAGGATACAGCAGGTCCATCGTGAATATCCGTTTTTTCGCAACGAAAGTGTCAGTCGCGTCGAGATGGATTCGTGGGAAATACTTCTTGAGCGAAAATACAAGGGGAACACAACACTATGTCGATGTCGCCGGCGCTTGCAATTTACTCTCCTCATCCAACGTGACTAACGTTCGCTTCGATGGTGCCCGAGAACGCGCAATGCATAACCGGCGAAGCTAACATTTTCGTAAACCGAACCGACTGCAACATGTAGCTGAACCACTACAGCGAAAGATCCACCGCAATTTTGCGCCCATCCATGGTACGAATTGCCTTCAGTAGCCGGCCGTTATTAAATACGGTCCGTTTTCCCTGGGGAAATCAATGATTACGCGAGCGGTTTGTGCGCCGCGACACGCGAGTAAAATAAACGCCGAAAATCCTCAAACGCATTCCCCCCGAGGTTCGAGTGCAGGCGCGGGAAACGCCCTCGTTAAAACGGATAATCGGTTGAACGCGAGAACGTGAGTGCTGGTCGATTCGTGGGGACGGAAAATTGTTGAAATGTTGACCTCGCGCGAGCCGCGTCTTCGACTTGGTAGAGCAGTTTAGGGCCAGTTTCACAACCTCCGGTTAACTTAATCGGCCGATTATTCCATTGGAATCGACCAGTCGCGCTTGTCGTTAAGCAGAACTGATCAGAAATAACCCATCACGGTTGACATTTAACCGGTCGGTGAGGTTAATCAGAGGTTGTGAAACTGGCCCTTAATTTTAAGTACGAACGGACTTCAGGATCGGACGTTGAGGGGCGCGGCTATCGATCAGCCCTAAGTTGATTCAGAATCTAAGCTTACCAAAGGTAAGTCACGCTATGTTTAGCACCCGGAGAAGTCAATTCTTTCCCTCACGCTTCGCAACGCCCCGCACGCTCGCACCGCCAACACCGGCTTCACTCGCGTCTGACTCTTTGTCTGTTTACGCGTGGCTGCAATCATCATCATCATCATCGCCGCCGCCGCCACTGCTTGGTTCATCCTTATTATTATTAACACCCTCTCTGTTGCGCACACGCGATCGGCCGTCTTCCTTTGTCCTTGCAACGCTCGAGTTGCGGTCGCGCGTGTCGCTTCGCGGCGCGCAACGGAAGCGCGTGCGTTGCGGAACCGGCTTCCCGGCTCGAGGGACCGGAGCCAATTCTCGACGGTGAACAATCGAGGCACCCGACGGGACCGACGTACGTGTCGGCAATCAGAAGACCAAATGATACAGCAGTACGTATCTGACGTGCTACTGTAACAGCAGCCGGGAGTAATGAAACGGGTGAAATATCTCGGAAACCGCGCGTTTCTCTTAATCGTTCCATAAACCGGAATTTCCTCGGATGAAACACGGGGTGACATTTCTCGATCGCGGGAACCGGCCATTAAAACTGAAACGACACTCCGACGGTCAGGGTAAAACCCTTTAATTTCGATCCGGCTTCTCTTAAGAGGCTATTTATTCGGGAACGCGATATCCGTGCTACCGAGGGTGTCCGAAGGGGTCCTCGGTTTAATTGGCCGTGGAAAATGGTAATTTTACATTCAAATGAGCCGTGTGCTTGAAATGCCGAGCCGAGAATCGAGCGGTCGGTGGAACAAAAGGATTCTTGATGATCGTTCGCCGCGAATCGGAGCGAGTATGTACATATTTATGTATGTGCTACATTGCTTCTTATCGTAGCCGGATGCTTCTTCACATTGTTGTCGATTATTCGTGTGTTGTGACGGGGATAAAGGCGCGCGACGTGCCGCTAGGACCGGGCGTGTGTGATTATTCGCGGCGATTTTGTTCTAGGGAGAGAAACAAGATGCCGACAGCAGCCACCGCCGAGGAATCTGCTCTGTTGGGGTAAGTTGTCAGGCGAGAAAAAGAGAACACGAGAGGGAGAGAGGACCGAGACAATCAGAGGGAGAGAGAGAAAGAAAGAGAGAGGGAGATTGCCGCGTAATCGGTATTGTTTTTCCATTGCTCGGCAAGCATCTTTTGATCGTAGTTGCAATTCGTGCTGATGCATAGACGCGTAGTCGCGTAGTGGAAGTGCGATAGTTGATATTAACACGCCTACGCCTATCGAGAATGTGAGCCACCCTTTTACATTAGCTCGTTTTACATTTCTCTTGAGCTGTCTCGTCCTTAGCTAGTCGCACACCAAATTCGACTTGTTTAACCCGCTCGACTGCAGGTAGGGGGAAGTGATGGATTCGTCAAATCATTGTCATATTCTGGCCCCGTTTGGAATGGTGAATGCTCCCGAATCGCACGCGTACGCAACTCGTCCGACTCGTGACTAACGAGGATGAATTCCGCGTGTGATGGAGATCGATTCAATTGCTGTCCGCGTTAGAGGCCGCGGTATGAAAAACGCACGACAGCGACGATTAGCCTCGCGGGAACACGACGTTGGCATTTTGAAACAACACGATGTGTCTCGATGTCTCTTGATATCGTGTAGCAAACACGTTCGCCAACGGTGGGGTTTTTCAACTAGCACTGGCAATTGACATTGACCCCAATGTGCGCAGCGCCGAGTGATCGGGCCGCAGCTCACAATTGCGTTATTAAAAGCGTTTTGCGCTTTTTAGCAGCGCAACTGCGCAACAATCCGCGACGGAGGTCACAGACGGTGAGGCAACGGTGAGGCAGTCGTTGATAATTGAGATATATGATCGACTGAGATACATTACGATTAATTCTGAAAACCGAAGTACGCATATGCGCTACGTAAATTGTGTATCGACCACGCGCGTTGCATAAAAAGCGGAAAACACGGCATATTACTTTGAGGTAGAGTTGTATCGTAAAGTGCCAGATTTTCAACAGCGATATTAAGGGATTCTTACACTAAGAGAAAAATATAATATTTGATATTTATAATTATAATCATCATAGTAAAAAAGTTATAGTCAGTAAAACCAATTTTCTAGTAAGTGTTATTATAGTGTTAGTGATAATAACCTTACATGCATATTGTTACTACTATTTTTGTGGTTAAAATTATATGAAGGTTATGATTGGCGTCGAAAATAACTATAATTTCTCTCAGTGTACATAAGTTTATTATTTACTGAGAAAAAATACTTCCCTATAAATTTATTTAATTATCTAACTAGTAAGCCTTTGTATTGCTTCCCGAATTTATTGAAACTCAGTACACTTGTAGAGTAGTCAAAAGTAATAAATATGTATTTTTTTATACCGACAATGGTGTAATTTTAAAAGCGAAACTTTAAAAGCAAAACTACCTCTTGTATTTATAAGCGCGAATAATTAACTCGTTACATTTAAGCTCACGGACTTGAGCTATCTTTGAGTTTTGGAAATAATAAGAGGTTTTCATGTCGTTGAAAGCAAATCCATGTAAAATTTACATAATTAAAAATAACGGATCCAATATATGGCGACCTGATAAATCCAAAAAATTCTATCTTGCTTTTTGCTGAACGGGGAATAACCGACGAGGAGGTAGTTTCTATCCTCAACTCTCGAATAATAAGATTGGTCAGATCCGATCGGATTCGTATTCTAATGCTTCCACGAACGTGTTTGTAAAACCTCATTCAGATATTTTATATATTTTCCTTTGATATATTTTATTTACTTTCAAATATTTTCTAAATTATTGTAAGAATAAAAAGTGCCTAGTCAAAGAAATTCATTAAAAAATTACAAAATGCTTCTGCGGGTGAGATCCAACTCATATGAATCTTGTTATCTGAGGATTAAAATTGCACTATTGCTGATATAAAAGAATACGCGTCTGTTATTTTTAATTACTCTACAAGTGTACCGAGTTTCAATAAATAAGTAACACAAAAATAAGTTTACTAGTTACTGAGTCATAAATATTAATTTGAACGAAATTACGAAAAATATACACACAATATTATAAACACGGAGATTTTACTTATTATTTGTTTTTCTAGTTAATGCTTTATTTATACGTCAGTGGAAATAATGGAGGTGCTTACATAATAGAAAGTGGTGTATAAATATTTAAATATGTGTATATATACATATATCGCGGATATTGCTAGAAATTGTAAATTTCCTACGGCTATATTTTCAAAACAAAATGTTCCATAATTCTAACATTTTCGTATAATGTCTCTATATTTGTCCCCTTAATATCAGTAGTTTTTCATTAAGATCCAAAATGTGATTTAGAAGAAATTAAAAATAGAAGTTAAAAATAGGAAATTAATTTCAAGGATTACGTATAAAAAGTGTCTCATTTTTAGTTGGGAATTCTCAGCTTCCGAACAGTCACTCTATTTATAAATGCACCAACAATTAGGTCATATTTAAATCTAGTGCAAGTTCAACGAATATTTAACAAATTATTTTATGCTACAACTACCTTAAACTGATGAGAGGCATAGCCGCCGTGGCAAAGTGCGCGCGCAGCAGCCATATCGTTCTTCTATTATACGATATTGGTTTAAGAGCGCCACTTAATGTGACACCCAGCTGCCGTGCTGTTTAGAGCCGCGACCCATATTCCCGACGGAGGCCCTGTAAGGCTTAATTGTTTAAGACAGTTTAACGGAAGTTGCTCGAAACTTTTGGCATTTAAGCCGCTTAATCGGGCTACTTCATGATTCTTACAAACTCGCGTCCCCGTCGGCGCTGCTTTCTAATTTGAATGTAAATGTGGACCTGAAATCGAGTTCCGTTCTACGAGACTATCGAGTTTTTTTCCCGAAGTTTTCCCAGACTACAGGAACGGGACGCGCGCTTGTCCCGTGTTGAAATTTTATGAAAGATCCGTCGTGAAGTGGTCGCTTCACGAGTCGACCTTGAGAGAGGTTCCTCCTCTCTCTCTCTCACATCCGATGTAGAAGATTTTCGACTGTAAACTACTGAATAACATCGATTGCGGCTCAATTCAGTCTGAAAGATCTAAATTAGCATAACGAAAGATCTAAATTAGCAAACTCGGAGCTCCTTGCGATCCATTCCGACGGTAAGAACGTAGTAGCATACAAAACAGTTAATGACACGATGGACGTCGGAGCTATTTTCGCCGCATAATTGCTGCACGTATTTTAACGTAAGCGACGCGAAGTCGGCCGACCGCGGGACTCGGTGAGACATTAAATTTGAGTCTCAGCGCATTTTGCAATTACGAATTGCATTTCTACGCGTCGCCGCGTACATTCGCGCGACATCGAGACGATGTTGGGCGACGGGTGTCTCGTCCTCTTCATGATCTTCTGCGCAACTTTCGTCGTTCAGGAGACAATTCTCGAGTCGGCGTTTCGATGCTACTCTGACTCTCTTAAGGATAGTTTATGCCTACTCAGACGGTCTATAGATTAATAACAACCTACGGACATTTTTTAACTTCTCTCTTAAACCTTTAACTCTACAGATTGAATTTTACTACTACATAGCTTCTCAACAACCTACTTTGACGCTATAACAACAAAAACAAAAATTTAAGACATCATCGGGGTTAAAAAAAGTTGGGATTACATATTATTAGAATTAAAATTGAACGTATTTTGCTATCTTATAAAAAGTTTAACATAGGACCAAAATTTCGACTCGGGAAATCGCAACCGTCGCTTAATACTTGGACTTCTATTCTTAAAATAGTTGTGTATACATAAATGTTGCGCAGCACATATCATAAAATAGCTACGCCACGATATTAATGTATACGCAATCATTTCAAAAATAGACCGAACATTAACTTCCAGATATCGTAATGATGTCATGTTTCACAGAAACCGATAAATAAGTGAGCTAAATGTCAAACTAAGCTGATTACAAATCGGCTGCGACGAGAGATAAAACGGTAACTATCCTCGCTTCCGGGAGAAGCTGTCGTCCGTTCGCAGTGCATCGGTGTGTTGAATTCGGACGAATTAAAGAGGATTCTTGCAGCGTATGATTTTCGGCGCAATAGCTAAGAACTTAGAGCTTCCTCCGAGGTTAGCGACGTAATTCCGCTTCGTCGCCATGCCACTTCGTGGTGCTCATCAGTCTTCGGCCGAAGACGTTCTACTTGTGACTCGGGCGAAAGGACGAGGTCTCCCTCGCGCCCGACCGTCTCCGGCTATTCCTCAGCGGCGAAGTAGTTAACGTCGAAATTAGGACTGATTAGAAGCCATTAAGAGCGACGCACAGACTCCCCGTTGTTGCTGCGAGACACAGCCGCGTCGTTTCGAAAGCGGCCGTCTCGGCGAGGCTTTACGACATGCCTCACCTAATATCGCCCCGAAATACCCTCGTGTATAATATCAAGATGCTCGTAATCATCGCTGATAAATGTCGCAACGCAGCTCGAGCATGTCGCAGAGCGACGGTGAGCCGAGCCGAAACAAGATGCGTGTTTACGCGCTCATCGCTTGTGTACGCAGCAGGCTCAGCGGTTATAATCAAACGAGACCCGATTTAGCGCGAGCTGTGCATTTCTTCCGGCTTGCGCAAATCTTGTTTTTGCGGTTCGCACGCTCGGTCGTGTGCAGGCGGTGTAAACTTAACTTCGCGCCGATGACGACGCTCTTTTTGCGTCGTGGGGCAAAAGAGAACGTACATACACACACGCGTGTATCGATCGAGCAGCGTGAGTCACCAGCTGTAATTCTTTGTCAATCGAAAGGGAGCTTAACGGTTCTTGTTAATCGGCCGCGAACGCCCTCGACGATTCTCTATCTGCCTTCTGCTGGGAATTAGTCGCCGTTTTATCTCGTTTCAACCTACGTGCCGGTTGTTACGTAAGGGGATGATAAATTGCCCCGATAGGAGGTCGAAACGTAACGATTCAATGTGACGCGACCGTCGCGCGTACGTCAGTTTGCTCTACTTTCGCTGGAAATTCGCTCAACGTAACTTGGCGTTGC